TAAAACATATTTGTAAATTGTATATACAAAAATATAAATTTATAATTCATAATGTGTACTGATTTTTTCGAATTCTTCTAAAACCATATTAACAAAAGGATAATATTAAAAAAGGTTGGTTTTAAAAAAGATATAAGAGGGATTACCCTCTCTACTTTGTTTTTGTCGCCATCCCGACAACAGGTTGCGCAACGGGTAAAGGCCACTCAGCGAAAGTGGGCGGGTTATGTGTAGTTGTCATTTCTAAGTCTTTGGCGGGAGCAGAGGCTTGTGTGTGTGGCGGGTGCGCGTAGGTGCCGAATTGCCGACGTTATTGGGTCATCAGTTGCTCTTCGTTTCCCGCACTTTCTTCGTCCGTCTCGAGTTCCTGGCGTAGTTATAATTTTTTCGTTCCAAAAGTGGAAACGTTTTACAATTTGCACTGTTTTCTTTTTAAGAAGAATATTACGTGAACCCCGTGCATCCACCCTCAACCTACTTATCGCACGAAGACTTAATGGATAGAATATTACCACTTTTCTCATCTCAACATAAAATACTGTCATAAAATTTATATATATGAATAGACATAATGTAAAGAATACCTACGGTCTATTTGGGCCATAATACTAGCGCAAGAGTTTTTTTTTGTAATTTGTAGTAAAGTATTAGTAACTCATTCAAGTCATCATCATCATCCAATATGTGAATCATGCTTTAGCGGTTTGGCTGTTGTATTTACAACCGCCGCCTGCTTGACGTCAACCCTCCTTGGGAAACAAACACCCAGATCCGGAAGAATTAGCTGTGGGTCACAAAATACTTGTACCCTTAGTAAGTTTCTTCCGAACGGCCTTTATCCGTTGCCTGACCCATACCAGGCGAACGCAAAAGAGAAAGGGCTTTTTATTATAAAAACATAAGACTACAGAAAGCTCTAAAAATAATAATACACATGACTGCGCAACGCGTAAAACGTAGGGAAAGCCATTTATATACTTTGGTTTTAATAAAAATATTTCGACTCAAAGAACTTGTTTTACTTTGAAAAAAAACTATATATAGCGAAATTATAAAATGATTTGATGATTTGTATGTTGTACTTAATTATAATGTCATATGTAAATTTTAAAGTTTTTTATAGTGCTAATCTCTGCACTTAAGATTGATTCCCACAGCGGCTACAATCTTTTCGTACTTTTTCTACATGTTTTAATGTTTGTTTTTCATGTTGTTTTTCTACATGTGCAGAGATTAGCACTAAAAAAAACTAAAATTTATAAAAAGCAATGGCGACATCTCTCGTTCGAATTATCGTTGTAAAACGATATTCGAAATTGTTTGTGTGCTAGAAAGAATATAACAATAGATGCGCCAAGCATTGCTTCAAATGCTAAATAACAATGTAGAAAGAAGGCGTTAAGATTTTCGTCGGTGGTTATCAGCCGTTTAGCTCAGTGGCTAGAGCGTCAGGCCGCGAATGCCGAAGACGTGGGTTCGATTCCCACAGCAGCAACAATCTTTTCGTACTTTTTCTACGTGTTTTAATGTCATATGTAATTTTATAATTTTTAACAAAAAAACCGACTTCAAACCGGATACTATAAAAAATTGTTAATAACTACAACATTTAAGAATTGCCCTCGATTTCTCTGGGATGGCATCATCAAATCCGGGTTTACTTGTCATGGTACCACCATCATCAAAATCGGTTCATAAATGATGAAGTTATCCGCGAACACACAAATAATAAAAATATATAGGTACGGTCGAATTGAGAAACCTTCTTTTTTGAAGTCGGTTTAATAAAGATTTAATAAAAAGTATAACAAATTAATACCTCAAAACAATCTTATCCTTTAAACGAGCAATTCTTGTATACATTTCCGAGATTCCGATTATATACAGCGTGTCGTTACAATCGCGACAATAAATGAACACTCATATAGGGGATAACTTTTTAAAATTGTATTAAACATTAACATTCTTTAAACATCAATATTTACAGAGTTATTAAATATTTTCCAAAACAAAGAATTTTAGAACACCACGTATAAAACTGTAACGTAAAGTTCATTTGTAAAGGTCACAAAGCATATGAATGGGTTGAATGAATTTACAAGAGACAAAACATAGTGTTCGAAGGAGAGGCTTGTAATGCTACGCTATGGCGCGAGTTGTATAGGGTGTTACAAATTTTGTTTCTTTTTTACTTAATTAGTTTCTTTGAAAAATATTTTTTTTAATTATGGATTTTGTTTCACGTTAATATTTTTTATGATTATTGGCAAGTAGCGTTAAACGTGTGTTCATTTATTGTCGCGATGGTAACGACACGCTGTATATATATAATCGGAATCTCGGAAACGGCTCCAGCGATTTTTATGAAATTTAGTATGTACGTAGATTCGGGGGCGAAAAACCGATCTGGCTAGGTTTCATTTTTAGAAAATGTCGTTTTATCCCAGTTTTCAGTGAACGAAAAATATCATTCATATACGACGGTAAATTTCACCGAAAAAAAAAATGTTATAATAGCTCGATCGGTAATTGGGCGGCCCCGAAACAGAAGGCCGTGGTTCGTGTCACGATCATTTACACACTTATTTTTTTACTTTTTTTTCGATTCCAGATCATTGTTCTCTATTGTTAATTTTTTGTCGATTCGTTATTTATTTTCCTTTTTTTTATTTATTTCTTTTGTGAAAAACATCAGTTCATATTTTATTATTATTACGTCGGTAAGATCGAAAAATATTATGCATATTTAATTACTGAGTAATTTGTATCTAAATATAATTTCCAAAATACACGATTTACCAAAAAAAAAAACAGAAAAACAGGTGCTCCAGGTACTAAAATTTAATATTTTCATGCACAAGGACATATGTTTAAAATATTGAATTAGACACAATTGCGCCTTACGTCTTCCAAAAATTGATCCACTTGATAAATTTAAATGTGTGAATAAAAAAAGTAGACTTAAAATAGTGTAAAAGATTTATTGAGACATTCTTTCAACGATAAAGTGTATACTATGCAAGTTAATAACTATGTTATGAAATAAAAACATGTACCCTAAGGTACGTAAAATTTTATGCAAATAGATTAAAATTGCAATGGTACACAATATATATATATTAATTTAACCTTTGTATAAAATTGTATAAAAACATGTAACAGTTTTAAATCACCTATACAACACCATGTATCATTATTATTTAAAAAAAATTGTACCTAAATATTGTGAAAAATGCTTGAAGCAAAACGTAACAAGTTTTAATATTAAAACATGTACAAAAAGTACGAAAACATTGTCGCCGCTGTGGGAATCGAACACAGAATTCCCACAGCGGCGACAATCTTTTCGTACTTTTTCTACATGTTTTAATGTTCAATCTTAAGTGCAGAGATTAGCACTATAACAAACTTTAAAGTTTTAATATATTGAAAATACATAGGCATTAAGGTCATGGAGCAAGATATATAATCTGTATTAACCATTGTTCTTGTATCTTGTATTAACTGATGTTTGTGCTTTTAGTCAAGAGACTATTAAAGCTTCATCTGACGCAGAACCGGTGGGCTAGCCAGAACCCACGGGTTTGGGCCCTCCGCTGTGGGTAGGGCCGCGCATGTGCTCATGCGTGCGTTTAACTACGGCATGTCATCTAAGGGTCATCGAAGTAGCGGTGCGGACCGAGACCCCGATGGCCGTCGACTGTGTTTTTAGCTAATCGGTGGCTGGGGGCGGTGAGAACCGCCCTGGAACGCGGGTGTACCTTGTGTACGCGTTGTGTTGGTCTCGCCGTGCTCGGAGGCGAGGGCGAACTAATGTGTTTGTTGCTACACTAACTGTGTGTGTCGTCGGGACCCCCGACGGTGGGTCCGACGTACCTAAGTCCCCTTCCTCGACCGGGTCAATGAGGACGTTTCGCGGGCGACGCTTGTTGACGCTCGCGTTTAGATCGGGTTGTTAATTTGCTGCGCTTACCACCAGAGGGTTTATGATGTTCGGCTCTATCGAAGAACCGTTGTTAATCAGGTCTTTGAAAAATTCGCGAATCATCGGAGTCTGCAATCACTGTGCAGGTCGACGTTGCGTTGATACCACTGCGCACCGGTTGCGCGGCGGATGAACTTATTTTGCACTACTTGCAACTTGTGCAAGCGAGTAGGGTGCGTGTGGGCGAAAATCATGCATGCGTAGGACATGATTGGCCGTACGCAAGCTTTGTATAAAAGTAATTTGTCTTAAGGACATTTTACTTGACTGGTTAGTTAAAGTGCTTAGCCGGCCGGAGACGAACGCGGCTCTGTTACGGACGTTATTAATATGCGCTGTGAATGACATACACGAGTCGAAAGTGACTCCTAAATATTTTACCTTTTTCTCCCAGGGGAGCGGTTGGCCATAAAGAGATATTTGCCCTAGCTTTCTACATTGGCGACGACCTTTATAAAGATGTGACGGGTAAGTACTTCGTGTGAAGTGAATCGCCACACTCTTTTCGGGATTTGCTTCAATTCTCCATTTGCGGAACCAATCGCCGAGGCGGTTGGCGGCGCTTTGGAGTCGAGTGGTTAGTTGACTAAGGTTAACCATTGTTGGTAACTATGTAGGATCAGATAGTAACTATTATTCTTACATTCTAATAGACAGATGTCAGATCTGTTGATGTAACACTTAGTTGGATTAAATTTGTTTATTACAGTGTAGCAATATTGATAAATTATTAAAACTCTTTAGCATAATTTATATAAAGGAAAATTGAGTCTATGCTATTGAGCTTAGCGTCTTTCTTAGATTTGTTAGATTGTAGGGAAATTTCCTACAAACTAATCATAGTTAAATGATGCTAATCAACATTTTTGAGTGTGGCAGTAAATATAACAGTAATTTTTTTAATGAAATCTTTTTTTTCCTATGTAAAAAAAGTCTAAATTGTGATTGTTATACCTAGTATACTTATAAATTTTCTTGATTATATTTGTAACAGACATTTGTCACTTATTGTTTACATAGTAGCATAATTATAAATATTGGGAGGTAAGGGTGATAACTGCAATCGTGGGGGTTCTGAACCGAGGAGTGGTGATTGTTCATCATGAATATGAAGTTCTTTTTGTATTGAAGAAAATATTGGATCATATTTCCTGCCATTGGTATTCCACCTGCGATATACTAATGCATTAAGCAATGCTTGCATGGGATTCATTAATGCCTGTAACAATAATAGACATATGTACATATGTGTAGTCATGTAGACTATAAAAGATAAGTAGATAAAAAAATAAGCTCACCATTATATACCAAATCGAGATGATAATTTTGACTGGCATATTGAACCACATTGTCCATATCATTACGCCATTTATAAGATTTGGTAACCAACACACATAAAAAACTGCATTTATCAGGAAAAACTTTAATTTAAGTGCATCAACCACCCTTCGCTCCTTACTAGTGAACTGGAACAATATTTATACACATAATCTCACCATCATTTCATAATTGGTTTAGGTTATTAGTGGACAAACATAAAAACGTTATATTTTACATAATATAAAAAGATTTATTAACTTTGAACATGTTTTTTGCTATCAAACAACTAAAATACAGTACACATTTAAAAAAATAAGATATCCCATAACAAAATTTTGCTAAAATAAATAGTGCTGAGTACTTTTTAAAATTTTAACTTGATTGATATTAAAAATACCTGTGCAAGGGGTAATGCCACAGTCATCTCAACTTCTCTTCCAGCTAACACATACAAAATTGGGTTAACTATCATTACCATGGCTATAGGTAAATAGGTAGCAAAATAATTTGGCAAAATTCTGAAGAAGGCACTTGTTACTGTTTTTAAATTATGACACCTGAAAAATTTTTAATCTTTAAAATGATTTAAATTTGAATAGTGCTAATCTCTGCACTAAAGATGACACACTAATATTTCAGAATTATCATTGTCATAAGATATTCAAAACTGTTTGTATACTGTAAGGATATGATAATATGTGTGTCGAACATTGCTTGAAATGCAAAATTGAAAAAAAAATTGATTATACTATAAAATTATCTTCCCTCATAGTCTGTCTAGACACAAGTGTCCTTACTTCTACTGTAATAAAGCCATGCAGCAGCTTTTCACTGTATGCTAACACCACTAGTTTCAGAAAACTTTTGCATTTCATGTAGCGAGTCAGCTAACCAGGCCCACTTTTCTTAAGGTTGACAATGCAAGCAACCCATCAATTCTTGTAGAATTTATTCCATGGGTGTTTGTAATAAAGCTGTAATAACAGTTGAGCTGCTAGCGTTCTTCCCAAAATTTGATAAATGAACTAATAAATTACACTACTTCTTAAAAGTTGGCAATATAACTGAAGTTCTGTGAATGTCCATGGTAGTAATCACTTACCACCAGGTTAACAGCCTACTTGCCTATTATGGCTTCTCATTATATTTACTCTCTCATTATCTTTTATTAAACATTGTGAAAAAATAAAAAATAAATACTTACGTTGCGTTAGGAATATACAGTATGGACAAACCAATTCCAGTAGTGGCTGCAGGCACACCCCAGGCAATAGAATGATAGAGTACAGGATATGGGTCTCTGCCTTTAATTGTACGTAAAGTATCAATAGCATAGAATAAAGTCCAAAACCAAGTTGCTGTATAAAAGTACTGAGTCCAGGCCTAGAAAATTTTTAAGATGTAATATTTTGTCATAATTGACAAAAGATGACTATATAGGACTTACTGAAGATATACTGCAAAATAATACACTTGTTTCATCATCAGGTAATGGCATTATGCTTTTGTACTGTAGCCAAAGTGATGAGCGCACTAAAACCCCTGAAATTTGATAAACACCACTTTATGCAAGAAAACTAGCTTGTGGTTTTTGTAACCATAAATGATAAACATAATAAATATCTAGGGTGGTTTAATGAAATTAGTAAAGAAAATGGAAAACATATGAAAAAAAACAAACACTGCGAGCGAAAACGTAAAAAAAGCCAATCTGATAATGGCTGCACATTAAAACTGTGAACTAAAAAGTATATAAATAATTTTAATAACATTGACGAAAGTTTATAATTTAAATTATTTACCAAATGATGCCAGTAAATCTGCAACAGCTAGCCAAATTATAATATGCCTTCCACGGGTAGAAGTCAAATTTTGGAACCTATCATGATGTTTTGAAGTTCCATGAGGAAATATCTAAAAATATTAATATACAATAAATTGGTAGAAACAGTATTGAAACATTTTCAAACAAGCAATACACACCTGATAAATTGATCCTAATATACCAATCGTGGAAGAAACTAAGCAGACAGTGTTATAAGACTCTGTGTTAAATTCGTCCATAATCCTTACTGCTAAATCTTCCTTACTGCCGGTACGATGGCAGCAAAATGTCTGTATAGTCGGGTCGGACATATTATTCTTTTCTTATATTATTCTAGAAGAACATTTAATTACAACCTCTAGATGAACTCTAATTATATAAAATAAATACCGGGTAAGCAGACTAATTAAAATAACTTCAATATTTGGATCAATTTGGCATTAACCGTGATATGTTTCAGATATATAAAAGTACACTTTGATATTTTTACATATAAAAATTATAATCATTTTGAGTAGGTAAGTAGTTAGAACAAAAATTACGCGCTAAATGAAAATATTTTGAAAATTCATGTCAAACAAACTCCAGTTGGTCCAACCAACAATTAGCGATGTGCGACTCGAGTTATTTGACTCGAGTAACTCGAGTCAAACCTTAAACGAGTCAACTCGAGTTCAGTTTTAAGCAACTCGAATCAACTCGGTCGTCCGAACGCAAGCCGGACGTTATACGCGGCGGCCTCACGAGTTGTTCCGAGTTACACACGCGGCTCGCGCGCGCGGTTCGTTAGGCGTTGCAACTCTCATCAACTCGCATCAACTCGCATCAACTCGAGTTGAGTGAAATGTAAAGTTACGTTTCACGAGCGCGCACCGTTCGTAAGGTGTTGCATCTTACTCGCATCGACTCGAATAGAACTCGGGTGGAGTCGGGCTCGTTCGGCTAGGATCGGAAACGTAATTGCGCAAATGATAAACCGCTTTAAAAGTTTATTTTGTTTTTTGGTTTACATTTTGTTATTTGATTTTATTAGTTGGCCGTTGGCGATCCGCGTGCGAACTGACATTTTTGATTTGTTAGTGATCTGTTTTGTTTTGTTTGTAACGACGTCAAATAACAGAAGTGTGGCGTGGGAATTCTATGCTATAAAAACAGAAACATTTTTAACTTTATTTTCGATAAGCAATCGTCTATGTACAATTACATTTTATAAGTACGACTTTGAGGCTATAGATGGCGGTATTTTTTGTCGTATTTTCTTAAACACGATGTTGAGATCTGCGCTGGAATAATATATACCTTTGTTGATTGATTTTTGAAATAAAATGCACACTAGTGCCAATTGATTGTACATTTTGTCTTTGAAATCCCAACCGTCGGACACTGTTCGAGGTCGAGGTGTATAGAAAAAGGAGAGGATTAGTTCAGACCACAAACGAAGTTGCGAATCGACTCGAGTAGCCACATAACATCACGATTCAACATCATTATTACTTCCTATCTAATTAGCCTCGAGTCGAGCTGACTCGTGCTCTCCGAGTTGGCCGAGTCTCCCCCCCCCCCCCCCCCCCCCCCTATGTCCCCACCTGAGACTTCGATGCGAGTCAACTCACAACAATCACACCAGTTCGCCCTCGCCTCCGAGCACGGCGAGACCCACAAAACGCGTACACAAGGTACACCCGCGTTCCGGGGCGGTTCTCACCGCTCTCAGCCACCGATTAGCTAAATGCACAGTCGACGGCCGTCGGGGTCTCGGTCCGAACCGGCGACCTCGACGGCCCTTAGATGACACACCATAGTAGTTAAACGCACGCATGAGCACATGCGCGACCCTACCCATAGCGGAGGGTCCAAACCCGTGGGTTCTGGCTAGCCCACCGGTTCTGCGTCCGATGAAGCTTTAATATTCTCGGAACTGAAAGCAAAAACATCAGTTAATACAAGATACAAGAGTCAACTCGAGTTGCGATTCGAGTCAGTAGCCAAATCAACTCGAGTAACTCGAGTCAAAAAAAATCCAACTCGTCACATCACTGCCAACAATTCTAACCATAACCAATAAGCAGGGTGACCATTTCAAAAATGGCAAATCTGCCCAACACCAGCAAAAAATCTGCCAAACTCAACTCCGAAAAATGCCAAAAATATGCCATCATATTATAATATCGTTGGAGACAGTACATTAATTAATGAAATAGGTATTCTTCCGCATGAGGCATTTAACATCTTCTTGTTGGTCGTTCCCTCACTGCAGAGGATCGTGTCTCATTTTCAATCGATCGACGAGCTGTCTCCATCGGATCCGCTCTGTCATCTAGTGAAGTGCGGCGCTTATGCGGATTTAACGTTTTCAGAAATTTGATCCGCCCACCTTTAGGATTACGGCCTTAAGATAAAGACACTCTATTTTCCTCATTTAACATAGGCAAACTTAAAAGAGCTTTTCAAAGTTTGAAATATTTAAAAAGTAAATTAAAAATTTTGTTTTTACTTGAAAATCTCTTTTAGAATAATATCTAGTTTACACAATTGCAAGCTTTGCAAAATTCAACATCAGGATCCTTCTTAGCTCTGGAATTCCAGGAAGGAAGCAAATATCTTGTTCACACTCAGGTCAATACAAACGCTCGTATTTTCTCTTCATCATGCATGGAAGATATTAAGCGCCAAAAGAGAATAAGGTATGAAATAATAGATGATTTGAAAATACAGAAACATTGACATGAGCCTCGATCAATTATATTAATAACAAAATAAACCTTATTGCTGATTTGTTACCGTTCATAATCATAAGACTTATCTACATTAAAATACAATAATCGGGAAATTCCCGTACTATATAAAAGTAAAAGTAAAAGTAAGTAACAGCCTATACATGTCCCACTGCTGGGCAAAGGCCTCCTCTATACAGAGGGTATCAGGGCATAGTCCACCACGCGGCCCCACTGCGGATTGGCGGACTTCACATATATTCGAAATATATTTTTTTTTGTTATTATTTCGAAAAATATGCAGGTTTCATCACGATGTTTTCCTTCACCTTCACCGCGGAGCACGTGATAAGTCAGCACTTAAAGTTAAAAACTTCATTGGTGCCGGCACCGGGGATCGAACTCAGGTTGCTCGAGTATATTGAATTAAGGCGAGCGCCCGGACACTTAGCTATCACGGCTCCGTACTATATAACGTGGGATGAACATTGTAACTTCAGAAAATAATTTGCCACCAAATATTAATAAAAGTAAATAATACGAAACAGAAAATTATAAGCATTCTAAATATTAATATTGATTTGTATGTACAAATGTATTTCAAAAATAATAAAGATTTCCTTGAAATCTGCCAAAATCTGCCACTTTTTTGAATCGTCAGCCTAATCTGCCACATCTAAAATTTAAGGTGCGAAATCTGCCCAAATGGCAGAAATCTGCCACAAATGGTCACACTGCCAATAAGTGTTACCACTAAAAGCGTTCGCAACGGCTATAAATTCATAACGCATTTTATCGATACAATACTATTAAAATGCCTGTTATGTTTCACGCTATAATAAATAGGCTATAGGTTAATTGACTCTTTTTTAAAGTAGGTCTCAAATGATTAATCAGCCTTTGATTAGACAAAAAAATATGACCATTTTTTTTTTTTCGGTGAAATTTACCGTCGTATTTGAATGATATTTTTCATTCCCTGAAAACTAGGATAAGACGATATTTTCTAAAAATGAAACCTAGTCAGATCGATTTCTCGCCCCCAAATCTACGCTCCGTGACCGCCGAATTCTGCTTGTTGATTAATTCATTAGAGATTTTTCTGTATCGTTTAAAATTTATTTTAATTGAATTACGCCAGAGTTAAAGTTATTTACATTTGCCGTTTATTGTAATTTCACGTTAATTTTTAGGCTATGGCAGTTAATGCAACCAAAAAGTCCAAAAGTTATGCAGAGAAGTGAAGTGAAGCAAAGGAAAATAAAGATACTCAGAAGTGCCGCAGACTGAAGGTGTCGACTTCCCAAACGATTATTGACGATTTGAAGAATAGTCATTTAGTACATTTAGTTAATTAATTTAGTCAATTAGTTAATTTAGTTTCATGGAAAAAACACTCAGAAAATATATCGAAGATTTATTTTTTTTTTTTTAACAAAATTAACATTATTCTGCCATGAATAAACGATTGGTATTAGTTTCTTTAAGTTTCCGGGTGTTTTTCGACGTAAAAAAAATGTAATTAGGTACAGAAAAATCATTAATAAAATACTACCAAGCAGAATTTGGCGGTCGCTTATAGTTTTCGAGAAAAAAATTTATTTAAAACGTAATTTTCACTAAGAAAGTTCACCATTTTTACCAATTTGACTTCAAAAACTGAATACACAGTACCGCCAACATGAAAAATATAGGAAGTGGGCGAAGATTAATTTTCTTTTTATTTAAAGAGTGACAGATCCGACACAGAGCGATCCGACTCGCATAGTTTAGGTTAGAAGGTTAAGGTTATTTTTTTTTTTTTAGCCTTCGTGGTTATTTTTTTTATAACCACCCAGAAAACTTTAGTGTAATAGCACTTTTCGTATTTTTAAAGACTCTTTTTTAATAATGCGAAGGTTATAATTTGGAAAAGTGTGTGAATTCGCGAATTTATACATGTTGTCACAAAATGGCGGATTAATTTAGTGAAAATAACAAGTTTTAAATAATTTTTTTTTCTCGAAAACTATTAGCGACCGCCAAATTCTGCTTGTTGATTATTTCATTAGTGATTTTTTTTAACTAAATAAAATTTTTGTTTGGTCGAAAACACCCGGAAACTTATGGAAATTTTTACCAAAAAAATTTATAATAGCTCGGTCGGTAATCAGGCCGCCGCTAACAAACAGCCACGAAACAGAAGGCCGTGGTTCGTGTCAAGATCATTTACACACTTACTTTTTTTTCGATTCCAGATCATTTCTTCACTTTTTATTTTTTATCGATCCAGATGATTTTGTTATTTTTTCCCATTTTTTTAAAGTTCTTTCTTTTGTGAAAAACACCAGTTCATATTTTGTTATTACTACGTCGGTAAAATCGAAAAATATTATGCATATTTCATTACTCAGTAATTTGTATCTAAATGTAATTTCCAAAATACACGATTTACCAAAAAAAAATCAAACCTCCAAGTACTATTCTTTTATCAATGTAATGTACACAATCATTTGACATTTTTAAAATAACCTTTGCCAATTAAT